GGATTAGTATCAGTATCAGGCTTATTGCCAGGTAGGTTCACACATAAGAGGAATTTGACTTGATGTCATGGTGCATACATAAAATATAAAACAAAAACTCTCCATAGAAAACAAAAAATCTAATATAAAACATAAAATCTTTAAAATATAGTTAGATAGCAATAAAAATAAAGCAGTAATTTACAGCGAAATACAATGCAGTGAATTATAGTATAGTATAGTTCTGGTGCTTCTAGTAAACAGCAACTGGCTGGTTCAATAAGGAGGAGAGTCGAACAATGACCAACAAGTTCCCATTTGAGTAAACGTCAACAAGCGCCTGAGCAAAACCTCAATGTTGCATACATTACACGTATACCCAGGAGGTAATATGTTATAATTTGACTTACAATTAAACCCTGGTCATTTTTGACCTGCTCTTAGAAGCACAGAAGCTTGTTAATGACTTGGTATTTCACTTTTTTTCATTCACAATGCAGGGAAGGGGCGTGTGGCCACAGCTTCCTGGACATTATATTATCAGCGCCTCTTGTTGATACTCAGAGAGTCTGGAAGTTTAATGTTTATTTATTTCAAAAGACCATAATGCTTTGTAGAATAATGAATATTAATCCTATGAATATTATTCTGAATATGAAGTCTCATTCTATACAGATGGATTTAAAACCTTAACTCAAAACAGCATACAAGTAAGGATTTCATGTCCCTTCAGCTATTTATCATATACAGTAGAATAATTAAAGGTGATATAGAACTTTGGGATATTATTGTGCTTTTATAAACACCATCTACTTCAGACAGAACTACCTCATTTGCATTAATATCAAGAGAAAAATGTGTGTGTGTGTGTGTGTCTGTGTTTCCATCCGTGTGTGTGTGAGAGAATAGAAATCAGATCACCATTAAACACATTCTGACTGAAATATTGAGGCCTTGCTTCACTCGGACACTTTCATGGTGCATCAGATATATTCACTTATCAGTTTCAAAAGATTTCATTGAGCGTCAACTAAGATAAATGCTTTTGTACTGTAGTTTGAATTATGAAGGAATCACATTAGTGATGTTGAGATGCAATTTCCGGCTCTTTCAAGTCACTTCAAACAATTGTTGAAGATGGGATTTTACATAATTTAACAACAAAATCGAGTTGGATCTGTGTTTTCCATCTGTGCGTCAAAGCTTTTCATTTACAAAGGCTGGCATCATGGATGGACTGGATGGATGTGTTGGGTGAAATAACGTCGGAGTTGTCTTTGTGCCGCAACACTTCTTCGTGTCATGTAAGTCATTCTTCCACCCAGCCATCCATCCATCCACTCCCCTACACAACCTTCACATAAATCTCTTCAGCAAATGTTGTGTGCAGAATACTTAGAATAGGCATGATTCATCGACATGGTGATGCAGATTTGTGGATTATTCCTTCATTGCACTGACTCTCTGGGGTGCAATCATGTCATTCACAGTGCCGCTGATAAATACAAAGCTGATTTCACACCACGTTTCATTTCAACGTTAATGATATCAGAAGCATTATCCATTTCTGCCACGAACAGTGTGAGTGCCGGGGTTAGTCGATGCATCAGCTAGTATGTTATTCGAGAGCAGGGAGAGGCAGTTGGGTTAAACTGTCCATAAACAGATGGTATGAAAAATAGATGAGAAACAGGAAATAGAAGTGGATGTTGTGATATAAAAATACAGGTGTAAAATGATTTGTCATCATGAAAATTAATGCAGAAGGGTTGATGATTAAGTGGAAAGTTGTTTTTGTGTTGTTTTAAAAAAATCACTCGACTATAAGCCATTTTTTTAATGTCATAATTACCTGTAATCTTGCTGAATTCTTTTTTTTTTAAGTGCTCCATTCAGTCGCTAACAATGTCCGTACTCATGCTTGATTGCAGAGAGGCTCTTTCATGTTGGCAGTAGGCCAGTTGGAAGACCTGCTCATTACGACAGGTTAACCGCTTACAGCGTAGTGTGTGCTTGATCTGTTGGAGAAGTGGCTTTTCTCTCATCAAGATCGATATGGAATTATCATGGAAATGTTGGCTTTCATGGACAGAAATCACCCCGGACACGTTTCTTGAGTTCTGACGTCAGCCTTTTAAAACGAGAGCACAAAGTTGGGTGACATTTAAAAGGCAACCTTACATGTTTGAACTGACTCAGAGTAATTCAGAATGTTTTTTCCACCCTGTCTGTCAACAGGGTAGGTCAGGGTTGTCAAAGTCTATCTCTGAGACGACCACTGACTGATACTAAGGAATTACAGAGGAATTAATTCATGTTCATCTCTAGACTGAAATCTCTTTGGATATAAACATGAGAACAATGTTTGAAACTCTAGTAAGATATCAAAGTAAGCTGGGAAATTAATATTAAGTATCACAACATTTTCAACCAGCTTTCTCAATATTGTGACACTTTCTCGGGTTGACTGCTTTAAGCAAATATTTAAAGATGCCAATTTTTACACATAATGATAATTCATGTGTATTTATTGACTAGGTGGGGGAATGCAAATAATAGAAAAGCTACACGTCTGGTATCTTCATAAAAACGTCGCTTAATTATAATGTATTTTAAACTAAGAAAAGACAAGGGTATTATGATATCCAAAATCTAAGACTACATTTGTTCTTATATCTCATATGTATATATATATATATGTCCCCACTTCAGCTCTATTGAGTTATACAATATTTTAAAACTCTTCATGAAGTTAGCGTTCATTGTGTTTACATCCTTTATTTAAAGTATACCTGTTATTTACTGGCGGAATCCAGTATTTCCACATGCTATTCATTGCCTATCCTCACTAGGGACTTACAGGGATGCACACATGTAATCTATTCATACAGTCTTTAATACTATCCTAATACGTAGGATGTCTCTATTTAATTTAAATGTAGCCATTAGTTAAAGGCTAGCAACTGCTGAAGGTCCTACATAAAATATCAACATACTCCACCAGCTTGGCTCACACAGCAAGCTTGGTTCACTTAAAGAATATGTGGAAGGCTGCTAGAAAATCTTGGCATATTTGACGAAGATCTATGCTTCTTTGAGCTAAGACGAATCAGTTATTTTTATCTTCCTCCAATTTACATTTCATGCTCTTATCTTTTCTCGCATGTACTACTGCCACGTTGGTACTCCTTCAATATGTTCTTGATCACTTTTAAAGCATTAAATGGCCCTGCTCCAAAGTATATCAAGGATTGATTGAACCTCTGTTTGCCTGGGCGTTGCCTTTGCGTCAGTGGATGCAGCTCTGCAGGTCCCCCCCCCCCATCTTGGCTTGTGACCAAAAGTGATGGGGATATTTCATTGGATACCTCTACCTTTAGAAATAAGACATGCCAAATAATTAGCCTTCTTCAAATCCCTTCTTAAAACTTTATTTTATAGACATTTTACGAATATTTAGTATGTTGTATTTTGATGTTTATGTTTTCATGATCCATCAGTTGTTTTTATTTTTATTCTATTGTTGTTTATGTTTCTTATGTGCACTTTGAAATCTTAACCTTTTGAATAAGCAAGAACATACTAAATAAATCAAGTTTAAAATGATCATTATTATTAAATATTATTAGTAATGGCAACAGAAAGTAAATTAAATAAGACGACAACATATTTCTAAAGATGGCAGACTAATAAAATCTTCCCACATTTAAATGTAAGTAATTAAATATGTATGAGTTATAAATAGAGACATGTATAGACATGTACTCAACATTAATGAATTAGCAGCTAATTAAGTATCTATATAAAAGTCATCTGTATCAGTTTGATATGCTGTACACCACCTCACACATATTCCTACTCATGAGGTTTACAGGGTGTGAACTGGCAGTAGATTTGCAGGTCATGTCACTCGATTTGTTGAGACGCTCGTTTTGACCGAGGGTGACAAGTAGTAAGCACGACCAATCATTTCAATCTGCAGGGGTCAGTTGATGCTAATGAGTGGTAGCCATTTTTCAGACTTCATTAATCGCACATTGCAGGGAATGATAAATGCTGCTCACAGCAGTGTTTATTGGCTGCTGGCTAGAGCAAACAGCCACAGCCATTGATCAGACTCGGAGGACCAACATCTGCTGTGTTTGTTTGCACAGTCGCTCTCTCTCTTGCTTCTTTGACCTTGGGGATTCTGTGACGTCCTGTATATGCAATGGTTCCTTTGCCAGCCCCCTTGAATTCATAAAGCCGGTTTTATTACCACCAAAGGGACGTCAAGGTGGCCCTTAAAACTGTAACTGAATGGTTCTGGGTTGCTGCCTTTTTGTACCTACACCCATCTAATGAAAGGTGAAATTCCCCTTAAAGTCATTTTTCTTATACTGCAGTTTTTCTATTCCAATGTAGATTGAACACTATTGCCCACACCATAATGAGAATTGTGTGGACTCATGATGTGACAGGTGGCTAATGGGACACTGTACACCCATCATGGATTGGTGCTTCAACATAAAACGCCACTTGCTTTAGCGAAAAACAACACTGCTGTCCAAAATCTCTTATCACAGAAACACCAAAAGCATAACTGTAAAGCACTACCTCTTCAAGGGCAATTCAACAATGAAATAGGTGTTTATAACTGTCTAGACCTGATTGTTCCAGTATATTCTTGCCAGTTTTTGAACAGCTTGATTATCCCTAACTAAATCACATCTACTGTATATGTGGGTGGCTTCCACCAGACTTGTAGTCAGCTATCCGCATATGAACGACGTGGAAACCTCCCACCTTAAAATAATTTAATATTCAGGATGAACCACTGCTAATTCAAGGTTTTGACTTTGCATCACTGATCAACCTTCCCCTTCTGCTTTGCTGCTTACTGCACGTTTGTAG